GAGGATTTACCCCAGCAAATTATTTGTCAAAATTACAAATACCCAATCCTTTACCCTCGCTAGATTCAACATGCTACCATCTGCCTTATCACAGGGCAGATTCGAGGGTAAACCATATGTGGAACGAGGCTGCCCCTGCGGCTTGATAGAGGTAGAAACTGTCTCTCATGTCTTCTTACGCTGCCGTTTCTATGGGGATATACACTCGGTATTTATCACTACTGTTATACAAAAATCTCCAATTGGGTCCGAACTTCAATGTCTAAAACTCCTGGTAGAGGACAAGGATCTAGAGATCACGCTAAGGGTGGCCAAATTCTGTGCAACTGCCGTAAAACTTAGGGAACAAGCTGCACTACCAAAATGATTAAGGTTTTAAATGACAATTTTAGGTTATATTTTAGTGATCAAGATTTAATATATATTTTTAACTGACGCTATATCTGAATTGCCTCTGTTATACCCAAATGCAATTCAATGTATTCCTGTTGTGTTTTATGATTTTCCTGATATTGTAAGTGAGCTGGAACAGGTCTGTGACCGTAATAATAAAGTCCTGCCCCACATAATCAAAAGACTTGGCACACAGAGACCATTTGAATGGAAATGCCCATCAATTTTGGGGCCCGGATCTTATGGTTTGCATATCCTATGTTCCTTCTGCTCCCAAGTCCCACAAAGTGGCAGGCTGAGGCAGTCCCTTCTCATCATCTTGCTGCTTATGTCCTGTCTCTTTTGACTCTCATATTTAGAGGCATCTCCCCCACTCCATTTCTGAATCGTGTTGCAAGCAGCCACAGGAACTCTTACCTTGTTTCCACCCAATTAGCCTGTGTACTTGAAGTGCTGTGAAAAGGACAAGGAGAACAATCTTACTGTACAGCAGATTTGATGTGAGTGTGAAACAGCTTAGATACAGAGTTTTACGGGGAAATGAAAAACAGACCGTTGGACAGCTGATACAATTAGCTAGAGATTAATTCAGGAACTGCTCTTTCCCATCCAGTTCTTAATTAAACATTGTACTATCTCAGGCATAGGCAAACACGGCCCTCCAGATATTTTGGCACTACAACTCCCATCATCCCTAGCTAACAGGACCAGTGGTCAGGGATGATGAGAGTTGTAGTCCCAAAACATCTGGAGGGCCGAGTTTGCCTATGGCTGTACAGTGGTGCCCCGCAAGACGAATGCCTCGCAAGACGAAAAACCCGCTAGACGAAAGGGTTTTCCGTTTTTCAATGCGCTTCGCAAGACGATTTTCCCTATGGACTTTCCCATTGTGTGCGGACAAACGCCAGCTCCCTCGGCCAGTAAAGTGAGATGAGCGCTGCAACCCCAGAGTCGGTCATGACTGGACCTAATGGTCAGGGGTCCCTTTACCTTTACCTTAGGCAGCTTACAAGAATTTTGGGGTCCCCTCTGAAGTTGAATTTATGGGCCATGGGAGTCTGTAGGGGAAGGGTGTGGAAAGATGGAGTCACCATATGTAGCTGGAAACAACTCCTATTAACATCTTTTTTTTTAAAAAAAAGTGATGCAGCAGAACATCTCCAGCAGCAGAGAATCAATTCAGTACAACACTCCCTAGAAACACAAGGGCAACTTTTAAATAGATTTTCACTTCAAACATTTGGTTGTTTTTAAGGTTTAGGGGAAAGGAGGGGGTATTAAAATTGTCCTTACCAGACGGGTGACACTCAAAAACACATTGGTATAAATCTAGGAAGTTGTTTCCATTGCCTCCACAACCACTGTAAATGAATTCCCTGCACATTTTGCTCTTAACATCGTAGTAAAACTGTGTAAGGAACGTCTTGCATTTTCCATAATCCGGAGTGAGTGTGCATTTTTTAGGTATAGTTCCTGGAGGAAGGATGGGAAGAGGAACAGCCACAGGTACCATATATGTTATCTCATCTTTTGAAGCACAGAAGATAATACCATTTGAAGACATTTGTTAACCCTACATCTGATATCTTCTCTACCAAGTAGCCAAAGATGGAGCCTACACATTGGGACCCAGGAGGCATACACATTAAAGAGCCCAATCTGGAGTCCAGTTGTAGAGTTCAGTGGTGATTTCCCCCCATAGGCTTTAAGAAGACTGCAGGACTTAAGAATAATAAATTCAGTGAATGTCTGTGGGGCCACACTGACAACGAAGCTGTTGCACACACACACACACACACACACACACACACACACACACACCGAGGCACTAAAGGCAGCAGATTCCCACATGGAATGTGTTAGTTGCTGTCGAATGCAGTGCATCCATCATTCTCAAGTCAAATGTAGAATCAGCTGCGACTTTGAGCAAAGTTTGCTATTGTAATCCAAACTGAGATCATGAAATAATTTATATTTCCTGCCCCATGGGATGCTAGTCCAAGGGCTTTTTAGCCCTGTTGATTTCATTTTCTTTTAGTGTTAAGAATGTCTCTCCAAAAGCCAAAGAATGTGATACCTGCCACATGCTTTCAAACTGGAGCTGGAAATTTTCCTAGAAAGGGCACTATCAGCTCATGTGATGTTGCCTGTGTAGACACTATCTGTGTAAAGCAAATTGTGTTCTTCAAAGAATCCTGGGAACAGTAGTTTGTTCTGGGTGCTGTGAATTGTAGCTCTGTGGGCATTGTAGGCCTTGGGGTGGGAGGGATCCATGTGCCTTAAGTGTATGGTGTAGAGGCAGCCATTGTTTCCAAGGGGGAGGGGAAATATGGGTTCTCCAATGTCATTATTTTTGTATAGCATTTTTTCCTGAGACGTTTCTGGATTTGTTCAACAGGAACTGCGCTTCCTCATCTCTGGGAGATGTTGCTTTTACCTTTAAGAAGTTATAGACTATAAAGAAGGAAACGATTTAAAATCCCGGTGAACACTTCCTATTACTGTAGATTTATGTGTCAAGAGACTTCCAAACTTGAATTTATAAAACTGCATTTGTAACAAAGAAGGGTATGCCTCCCATTTTCACTAGTTACAGGGCAGACTCAAACTATTATACCACTTTAAACATTCATGGCTTCCCCAAAGTACATGGGGAACTGTAGTTTATTAGGGGTGATAAGACTTGTCAGGAGACCCCAAGCCCCTTCCCACAGCAACAATTCCCAAATTTGCCTGGGAAGAAGGCTTGTACATTGAGGAGAAGGGGGTCTCCGAACAACTCTCAGCCCATTGACCAAGTTACACTTCCAGGAATCTTTCGTAGAAACCATGGCAGTTTAAAGGGGAATAATACTGCTTTAAAGGTAGAGCACAGATGGGACCCTATGTATTCATTAGGGTGAAAGTGTAGAGGCAAGGATACAGGCAGGCTGAACAAAAGGTGAAAAAGCAGAGCATTTCTCTGAGTCTCCCAGAGTCAATGGTGACTTACACATGCCAGAGAACTGTCGCCATGATGATGCCCAATGCCCAACCTGCCCAGTCCCGTCCAATCTGCAGGGGATTCCTAACTTGCAGAGAGGCCTGGCATACTGCACACTTGATGCATAGAAGGGCCAGAAGGCTTACCTGCTGAACGGAAAAAGCCCTGCACCTTAGAGCAAGGTGCCAATATCCCCATGATAATGACCAGGAGTGTAGTGCTATTGCACTGCATGTTGATGTGAATATTCAGTGCTGAGAGGAACCTCCTTATATAGTATTCAGTAGTGATGTGGAGGGAGATAACCACCTGGACATTGAACATAATTTTTTAATAGGTAGGGAACACTCTGAGGCACCTCTGCTCAGATCAAGGTAACCTCCTGCTTGCAAATGAGGACTGCTCTGAACTAGGGACATAGAGGAACTATCTATCAGGTCAATCAGCGTAAACTTGGCATTGCCAGAAAGAGTTCTGTTTCCATTAGATGGTGATACAAACCCACTCTGCTGCCTCGTCCTTCTCTAGGCACCTGTACTTCCTGGCACCTGATGACAAACAACAAGGGATTGTTGGGGGCAGGTAAAGTCATGCTTTCCGACATTGTTGGGTAGGATTCCTAAGGCATTTTGGGAGCAGGCACTCTTTTGTCACCTTGCCCTGCAATGCTTCATGTGGATGCCCTTTGCGCTGGGCATGTCTGCTGATACTTGCAATCTATTTCTTGGCAAAGTTGACTTATGGTGGAGAAATCTTGGAACTAGAGGTTTATCCACCTCTGTTCTGGAGCTTTCCCTGTGAAAACCTGCTCTTTAAAGCTCAGTCAGAGCAAATGTCAATCCACGGAAAGCCCAAATTAATGTTTGCTCCAATGGAGCACTAAAGAACAGGTTTTCAGGGGGAAAGCTCAGAGCAATTTACAGACACACACAAAAACCCCTGCTTAGGTACAGAGCTTTTAAACACTGGCCTGTGCCTGGAAAGAGCAAGGCAAAAGTTAAGTGTGGATGAGCCCTGGGACTATCCCAGTACAGTTTTATAATTTTATGGCTTTGCTTATGTACTATTTTGAACTTCTTAATATGGAGAATTTTGGAATTCTTGGGGACGGTTTTATGGAGCAGCTACAATCATATAGGGAGACTACTTGGTTAGCAAATTGTTAGTTTTTGATATAATTCCCCAGGTTCTTACAAAGTGGACCCTAGATTCAAAGATATATAAGGAATTAGCTGGGAGATTTCTATCCCCAACAAAGCCCACACTTGTTGTGCTATCAACTCATAGTTTCCATCAATCCCCTCCTAGCAGCTCTTTCTATTTAACTAATCTGGACTCACCTATCTCATTGTAGGCAGATAGATGGTGTATTCCTCTGAACTCCATATTAAGGTAAAACCTCTTTTTGATTGGGAGTTGCTACCCTGCTTCAAATAATCTTGCCTTGGTTTAAAAGTTCATCACTTCTTATTCTCCCCACATTCACACTAAGGATGTGTGGATTTTAAGACATTTGGGATAATAATAATAATAATAATAATAATAATAATAATAATAATAATAATACTCAAGAAACAGAGCCTGCAGGATGAACATGAAGAACAGGTGAGTTTATTGGCAAGCATGCAAGAATGAAGCCTTTAAATGAAGGCATCATTTTTTGGGAATGCGCATCCTGGTTTCCTCTGGTGCCGTTGTTTCATAGGACCCAATGAGATGGTAATGACTCTGAAAATAGAAGAGGCCAAGCCCTGCACAAAGACTCAATGTGAACTTGAAGAAAGAAGAGTAAGTAAAGGTAAAGGAAGGACCCCTGACCATTAGGTCCAGTCGTGGACCAACTCTGGGGTTGCAGCACTCATCTCGCTTTACTGGCCGAGGGAGCCGGCATACAGCTTCTGGGTCATGTGGCCAACATGACTAAGCCACTTCTGGCGAACCAGAGCAGCACACGGAAACACCGTTTACCTTCCCACCGGAGGGGTACCTATTTATCTACTTGCACTTTGACGTGCTTTCGAACTGCTAGGTTGGCAGGAGCAGGGACCGAGCAACAGGAGCTCACCCCGTCGTGGGGATTCGAACTGCCGACCTTCTGATCGGCAAGTCCTAGGCTCTGTGGTTTAACCCACAGCACCACCCGCGTCCCAAAGAAGAGGTAGGTAGGAACAATTAAATGTGGCGGTGCAGCTGAGACCTATTTCCACCAAGATGAAACTATACTTTGGGGGGCTGTTTAGTTTGCAGGGATGCTGAGTTAGGGGGCGCACGATACAAGTTTATAAAATTAGGCATGGTGGAAAGAAAAGGGGGCAGATGGCACATACACAAGCCGCCCACTATTTCTCCTCCTACTTCTCCAATTCAAGGCAGAGGGTGGGGAAGCAAAACGAGATTATAGAAAAGGACTCACTGTTGCTTGCTTGCTGACTCTCCCTCTAGCAAGGTCAGATATCAGATGCTGAACAAAAGAAAGGAAAAGTTCCTTAAGGTCAGGAAATACTCTGTTGCTCCCCTGCTTGTCTTTGAGGAGATCTGCCATTCCGCAACACAGCTCTGAGCACTCTCACAACCAATGAGGTACAGCCACAAACACACAGAGGGATGCTGTGGCAACTGAACCACCAAATCACCTTTGGATTAGTTAAAGCTACGTCATATATTTAAAGTGCAAGGCTTCCTCTAATGAATCCTGGGGACTGTAGTTTATTAAGGGCCCTTGGTAATTAGAGCTCTCTGAGGGTTCACCCTTCACTACCCAGGATTTTTGGGTGGAGGTGGGGAGTCATGATGTATAGTATGTGTACAGCATAAGTCAAAAAAGAAGACTGCCACCCCCCTGCCACCCTATGGTCACCTCACTTCGTAGAAGAAGAAGAAGAAGAAGAAGAAGAAGAAGAAGAAGAAGAAGAAGAAGAAGAAGAAGAAGAAGAAGAAATCTGAATGTTCAAGCAACCTGTTTATTTGCTCCTCAATTATTGTCTTAAGGCCTTAGATTTACAGGTACATGTATGCAGCTACTTGAAATTTCTAGCTAGCATAACCACTCAAGACTGTAAACATTGTGTGGAATGTACTGATATGAGTGCTGTGGATCACTATGAAATTGTTCATTACCAATGTGTGGCAGGCCTTGGCACACCACCAGGTCATTCTACTAATCTTTGTGGGGACGCTGTGGTCTAAACCAGTGTTTCCCAAACTTTTTTGGGCAACGGCACACCTGTTTACTGAAAAAAAATCTCGCGGCACACCACCATTAAAGCCCCGCCCCGTGACGTCAGCGTGCAGCGTCACGCCAGGAGGGACACACGAAAGTGAAAGTTTTTTCCCTCCCCCTTGCCGGGGAACCTCCAAGCTTTGGGGGTGGGAGGAGGCAGCAGAGCGAGGGACTGAGGGACGGCGGCAACTGAGGCGGCGGCGGCTGTGGTGGTGGTGGCGGCGATAGCGGGCGGAGGAGGGGGCGGCGGCGGGGCTTGAGGAGCCGTTGCCGGGAGTTGCTGCTGCTGTTGTTGCTGCTGCTGCCCGGACATGCCGGCCTCCTCCTCCTCCGCTGTCTCGCGCTCCTCCCTTTTGCACGCGCTGCCCCGCCGCTCGGCACCACCACCGCGGAGCCGCCCCCGGCTCGACGCGGATCCTCGCCGCCGCCGCCTCTCACCGCCCGACTCGCCCGCCTCCTTCCCACGGCACACCAGCCAATGTCTCACGGCACAGTAGTGTGCCGCGGAACACCGGTTGGGAAACACTGGTCTAAACCACTGAGCCTCTTGGGCTTGCTGATTGGAAAGCTGGTGGTTTGAGCCCACATGATGGGGTGCACTCCCATTGCTCTGTCTCAGCTTCTGCCAACCTAGCAGTTTGAAAGCATGCCAGCGCAAGTAGATAAATAGATACTGCTGCAGCAGGAAGGTAAATGGCATTTCTGTGTGCTCTGGCACTCATCATGGTCTTCCATGCACCAGAAGCGGTTTAGTCGTTCTGGTCACACGATCCATAAAGCTGTCTGTGGGCAAACGCCGGCTCCCTCAGCCTGAAAAGTGAGATGAGCACCATACCCCATAGTCACCTTTGACTGAACTGTCCAGGGGTCCTTTACCTTTTTACTAATTTTCAGAAACTTTTAAAAAATTGATTATTTATTACAATTCTGGGCAGACAGATTTTTTTGTCATATTGACCAAGGGGAACAGTGCTCATCTAGCTTTCTGGTGAAATAGTAAAGGTAAAGGTAAAGGGACCCCTGACCGTTAGGTCCAGTCGCAGACAACTCTGGGGTTGTGGCGCTCATCTCGCTTTACTGGCCAAGGGAGCTTCAAACAGCTTCAAACTGCTAGGTTGGCAGGAGCAGGGACCAAGCAACAGGAGCTCACCCCATCATGGAGATTTGAACCGCGACCTTCTGATCAGCAAGCCCTAGGCTCTGTGGTTTAACCCACAGCGCCACCCACGTCCCTAGTAGCTGAAAGAGTAGGTGGAGGAGTAGCTTGCAGCAAAAAGATACCATCTTTCTTGCAACTGCCAAACATTTTGTGGGTTGTTGTTGTTGCTTTTCCCTCCTCCACCACCAAATCCTTTGACATTTTTTCAATGACATGCATCAAACAGAATGCACCTTTCGCTACCTTAATCCACAACTCAAAGGCTATTCCAAGAAACAGAGCTTCTCCCTCTCTTATGAAGTGAGGATGTTGAAATGATGCAGTTGGAACACAACCATTGCATAAATAACATTCAGAGAATAATGAAAGTTCTAAGTTCTAAACGTTTCTGTGTCCTTACCATCGGCTGCACATGCCCAAAGGCATTCATTTTCTGTCTCAAAGTTATTCCTGTTCCCTGCACAGCCACCGTAGTTGAACGGCTTACAGGTCCTGCTACTGTAATCGTAGTAAAAGCGAGGTAAGTCCTTGTTGCAGCATCCCACGTCTAGGGGTTGGTCACAATAATCACGCAGAAAGTCTGATATTGCGGGGGGGGGGAGAGAAGGACAAAAACAAGGTTCATATCTGTTACTTCATTTCTTGAAGAAAACAGAATTTGAAGGTTTCTTGCTTGTGGTTGCAACACCTGAGATGATCTCAGTGACAATTATGAGAACTCTGCCCTGGGATCCAACAGCCACGTTGACAAGAGTGGGAAAAGCACAGATGAAAGAGACCAGTTCGACTTAAGTAGGATGAGGTTATGCCTTCTGAGATCCCTTAAGGTAGATTTATAGCATTTGTTGTTGTTGTTGTTGTTTAGTCGTTTAGTCGTGTCCGACTCTTCGTGACCCCATAGACCAGAGCACGCCAGGCACCTCTGTCCTCCACTACCTCCCGCAGTTTGGTCAAACTCATGCTGGTAACCTCGAAAACATATATAGCATACTACCACAGAAAACCTACCAACAGCCTTTGATTTGGTGCGGACAAGCTTCATAGAAAGAGACAGATCAAGATGTGAAATGAGAGTCATAGAATCATAGAACTGTAGAGTTGGAAGGGACCCTGAGGATCATCTAGTCCAACCCCCTGCAATGCAGGAATATGCAGCTGGTCCATACAGGGATTGAACCTGCAACCTTGGTGTTATCAGCACCATGGTCTACTAACCCAGTGTTTCCCAACCTTGGGCCTCCAGCTGTTTTTGGACTACAACTCCCATCATCCCTAGCTAGCAAGATCAGTGGTCAGGGATGATGGGAATTGTAGTTCAGAAACAGCTGGAGGCCCAAGGTTGGGAAACACTGTACTAACCAACTGAGCTATCTAGGCTCATCGAGTCTTGGGTTTCCTGCCTGTCCTTAATGCATTCTGAGGCAGTGGGGAGAGTGGGCCGGTGCCTCACATCCCCCCTTTTTCCTTCAGGGACCCCCTTTCCCCTTCCATGCCCACCTTCTATGGTATAAGTAAGGGGAGTCTTGCTTGCTATGGCAGGTGAGGAAGCATGGTGGGCAAGGAGATCAGTAGAAGGACATAGCAATAGGGGCAGTAGGCTGCATACTCATACACGGCTTCAGATACTCTTCCACTGTCAATAAATAGGCCCTTGAACCTAAGAGGAGAGAGGGAAGTAGGGGGTGTCCTAAGCTTCTTGGGCTGAGAGACCAATACGTAGTTTGGAGAAGAAAAAAGTGAAAACTTTTGGCTGAGAACTTTGAGTTCAGAACTGAATGACACATGCAGAAGACAACTGTCCTCTTGGGACATTATCTTATCCCTCCCCAATCCATAAGTTGCGTGGTGAGTTCCTACCCTCCCCCAGTGGAAATAAAGACACATGACTCAATTAAGTAAGGTTAATGGGAGCAATTGGAGGCAGCAAAAGAGGGAGATCCCTGGCCGCCCCTGCGTTAAATTGGGCAGGCCACACACCCCGAGCCAGCCGATTGGCTGTCCAGGAGATGACGCGACCGGGATTCCCTCAATCGCACGGAGGTTGAGAGCCAGCCACAGCGCACATGGTGGGGGCGTGCAGCCCACAATCCCACCTCCTCTGAAGGCGGAAGTGGCTTTGTGCAACTGATGGTAGCCTCTTCTGAGTGATGACAAACCCAGTGGTTGAGTACAGAAGGCAAATGAACCAGAATGTCACTTCCAAGCGGAGCCCTCCTCCAGTGGTGCAAATCACTATGTAAGGATGCCTGAGTAGAGGAGCCCAGTTTAGGACTTATCCACACTTCCTATTGCCCCACTGCTTTCCTCCAGGAGAAACTGCTCTTTAGCACTCCGAGCAAATGGCAATTTGTGTTTTTTCCCCCAGATGCACTTTTGCTCTGATTTAGCACTCAAGAGTCGGTTTCCCCTGGAAAAGGAGCAGTGCAAGGGGAAAACCACTTGGACCCATGCTTGGAAGGTGAAGATCAAGCTGAAAACTGCTTGGACTGGTGCTTTCAAGGTGTGGACCAGCCCCTAGTTTGAAATGCCACTCTCTGCCTCAGTCAACCCCATGAGAATTTCTTGAACTGCATGAGCATGCCTCAGGATTTCAGCTGGGCTGCAGTAGCCCCTGCTCAAACTTGGCCCTCTAGCTGTTTTTGGACTACAACTCCCATCATCAGCTAACAGGACCCAGTGGCCAGGGATGATGGGAATTGTAGTCCCAAAACAGCTGGAGGGCCAAGCTTGGCCATCACTGGCTTAGGGGCTGCAACGGATGTTTCTGGCCAGATCCCATGATATACTGGGAGGAAACAAGCCCTTGGATCCTGGTGAAAACTGCTAAGAAGTAAAGACACAGTGAAGGAGGCCTTAAGGAACAGGCTGCATCAGAACTAAAGAAAGCCAGCAGGAGTGGAAGGCAAAATGCATATGAGAGTCAGAAGGAAAATGCTATGGAACGTTTACCTTTACTTGGCCCTTACCTTCAAGCTTGTCAGGATTTATCAGATGTTTGGGTGTTTCTGTTATAAGGAGAAGGAGAACCATGTAAAACCGAATGGCAGAAATGAGAGACCCTTTTCAGGCTGCAATCGCTCCTGAGCAATCTGGACTAACTCTTCACCCCAATTGTTTCTCCATTTGATCCTTTTGCATGGCTCTTTATGTTTTGTCATATTTTATGCAATGCAACTTGCGTGCTGAGGTCCCCCAAAACACCCCTACCCCAATACCTCACACATCACTCATAAATTTTTGTTTAAGGTTTTTGGCATAATTTTGGCCACAACTTTATTAAACATACAAATTGTGAGTGGTTGCTTAGGCATTGGTTATGACTATCTGTCCCCCCGCCTTGGGGACAGCACTGACTCCCGGATTCCAACGAAAGCCAGTGTGGAGGAACAAGATCAGGGATAACTGGAGCTGCAGCACAGACCCTCAGCTTCTCCCCGCATGCTCCCAGGGGCTTACGCGGCCCAAACCCGATTCCAGGGGTTTGGACGAAAGAATGGTAAGCCCCTGAATTCCTTTAACGGAATTCCTGTGCAGCAGCAGCATTGGAGGGGCAGGCACAGCCAATCCATAACCCTCCACCAACCAATTTAAACCAATGCCTAACCGCCAACCTTACAAGTTGTGACGATTTGCTACGCAGTAGGCAAAAACCAAATGGCACACACTAATCAGCCAAATGGAAAAATTCCTACCAGGCCCCCGCACCATGACAGGCATAGCAAGGTCAAAGCACAAGCCCAAAAGGGAGGGAGGGCGGGTGATCCGGTGCCCACAGCGAAAGAGAAAGCAGCTTGCTGCGAACCTTGTTTAAATAACCTCTGTTCCCTCCCCCAAATTGGCAACATCAAATTTACCCCAGCAACACCAACCACCAATCCAAGCCAGGCCCCTTCAATCTATCCTGCCTGGCAACTACGGGGTGCTTTGCCTGGCCCCATCCGCAACACGTGGTCTCCTTTAGTGAGAACACGCTTTGCCATTGTTGATTGTAACTTAGTCATTCTTTATCGTAATTGATAAGTGTGAACTGTTTAATTATTATTTACTGATTTTTAATTTTACACTTTGCTGTTATATTCTAATGGATTATTGAATATTGCTTTATTTGATATAAGTTGTCTATTTTACAGCTATTGTGACGTTTTTGTATTGGATCAGATTGCTATTAGGTGTGCGATCTTTGCCGTCTATTTTGTTGTTTCTTCAGCTTGTAAATCGCCTTGTGTTTAGTGATGCAGAAACATGGTATACAAATTAAAAGTGAAATGACATGGATGTTAGTATCCCGGAGCTCAGCTTGGTATCCTTAGTATCCTGGAGCAGAATCAGATTAGATACTTTTGTCAGTTTTCAAATTATAGTATTAAACAACAACAACTGCACCCTTTCCCGTTTTCTTAATGCTAGACTCAATTTTTTCCCCTTTGAAGCCAGCACATTTTTTCCTGCTCTGGCATCAAGCTTCCCCACTCTTTCATCAAACGCTGCATTTCTGCTGATTTTTTAAATCAGAGAACTAATTTCCCCAACATGTTAACCTCTTAATACCAAAGCTCCTCCCCCCCCCGAATGTCTATAGGGCAATATGATGCTGTAGTGGAGCTGCAATGCCACTAGAGCAGGCTTCCTCAAACTCGGCCCTCCAGATGTTTTGAGACTACAACTCCCATCATGCCGAGCTAACAGAACCAGTGGTCAGGGATGATGGGAATTGTAGTCCCAAAACATCTGGAGGGCCGAGTTTGGCCACCACTGCTTTAGATATTTGTGGGCTAAGGCTTTATGCACTAATGCAGGCTTCCTCAACCTCAGCCCTCCAGATGTTTTGAGACTACAATTTCCATCATCCTTGACCACTGGTCCTGCTAGCTAGGGATCATGGGAGTTGTAGGCCAAAAACATCTGTAGGGCCGAGATTGAGGAAGCTTGCACTAGAGCATGCATAAAGTTAAGCAAAAAGTGCAAGTTCTTCGGGTTGATTGGGAAAAAAGATTAAAAGTGCTCATTCTTACCATACTTTTCACACTCCTCGTAGCATTCCCTGAAAGAATCAAAATTGTTCCCGTTGCTTCCACATCCACTATATATGAACACGAAACACCTCTTTCTCTCAGCATCATAATAATAGCGCCGCTTACTTGCTTTGCAGTCTCCTAATATTAATGGCTGTTTGCATTTCGGAGGTGGGTCTGGCGGAGAAAAGCAGTATGTGGAAAGCTCACACATACCGCATTGGCCTGAATATAAGCCTCACTTTTTTCCCAACCGTGAAAAGTTAAAGTGCGGCTTAAATTCATGACCTTACAAAAACTGGCTTTTACTATATCGCTGCTGAAAGAAGATATACGGTAAAACGGAACGGGTGTGAGTGCCTATATATAGGCAGCGGCTTATATTCGGGTTTTGTCTTTTTTACTCCCCCCCCCCCGACTTTTAAAGGTGCTGCTTATATTCGGATCAATACAGTATATAAGCTCATCTAGGACTTGCCGATCAGAAGGTCGGCGGTTCGAATCCCCGTGACGGGGTGAGCTCCTGTTGTTTGGTCCGTGCTCCCGCCAACCTAGCAGTTCAAAAGCACGTCAAAGTGCAAGTAGATAAATAGGTATCGCTCCAGCGGGAAGGTAAACGGCGTTTCCGTGCGCTGCTCTGGTTCGCCAGAAGCGGCTTAGTCATACTGGCCACATGACCCAGAAGCTGTACGCCGGCTCCCTCGGCCAATAAAGCGAGATGAGCGCCGCAACCCCAGAGTCGGCCATGACTGGACCTAACGGTCAGGGGTCCCCTTACCTTTTACCATAGTAGATGTAAATCCTATTTCAAAGCCCTGCATCTATGATTCAAACTGCTGAGATTATCTCTTCCAAGTGGGCAATGACAGGAACCCTGGAGTGGTATGCAGTAGTGTCAGGTGTTGAAGAAGACCCCTCCAACAGAAGTAATTTCAATTAAAAGGATAAATATGGAAGGGAAATGGCCGACATATAGAGATCTGCTCCCTAGTCCCACAGAATAAAGTAGCAGGCTGAAGCAGTCCCTGCTCATCATCTTGCAGCTAATGTCCTGTCTTTGACTGGCTTGCCTATCATATTGACAGGCTCCCCCACCACCCACCTCCAACTCAATTTTTGAATCACATGGCAGACAACCATAACAACTCTTACCTTGTATATCTGTTGTTGACCTGGATGTTAGATGTGCTGTGAAAAGGGCAAGAAGACAAATCTTACACATTTGATGTGAGTGTGAAACCACATTAATACAGAAGGCATCTTTTCAACAGATTTTCGCTTCAAACATTTGGTTGTTTTAAAGGTGTAAGGAAAAGGGGTGGGGGAATTAATTGTCCTTACCAAACTGTTGACACTTCAAAACACATTGGTAATAATATTCGAAGTTGTTTCCATTGCCTCCGCAACCACTGTAAATGAATTTCCTACACATGTTGCTCTTGACATCATAGTAAAAATGTGGCAAGTAGAAACTGCATCTTCCATACTTTGGAGTGAGTGCGCATTTTCTAGGCATAGTTTCTGGAGGAAGGACGAGAAGAGGAAATGTCACAAGTACAATATATGTCATCTCATCCTTTGAAACACAGGACATAATACCATTTGAAGACATTTGTGAACCTTACACCTGATATCATCTCTACCAAAGATGCGAGCTCCACAATGAGACCCTACAAAGAGTCCCATGGTAGTTTCATAAGAAAACTGGATCCATGTGCTTTTTATATCTGGTGTGGAGGGAGTCATTGTTTGCAATAGTATAGTAAAAATACATAAATGGGTCCTTACAGAGAGGCCTGGCATACTGCACACTTAATGCATTTAAGGACCAGAATTCTTACCTTCTGAACGGGGAAAGAAATATTGTGCCTTAGCACAAGGTGCCAATAATCCCATGATGAGGACCAGGAATGCCGTGTTATTATACTTCATGGTGGCTGCTGGATGTGAATGCTCAGTGCTGAGAGGAGCCACTTTATATAGTATTCAATAGTGATGTGGAGGGGGATAATCATTTGAGCATTAAATACAGTTTTCTAATAGGTAGGGACACCTCTGCTTCGATCAAGGAAACGTCCTGTTCTTGAATGAGGACTGTTCTGAAATAGGCACATGGAGGAACTATCAGGTCAAGCAGAAATAACCTTGGCAAAGCCAGAAAGAGTTCTGTAGATGGTGATACAAACCCACTCTGCTGCCTCCTCCTTCTCTAGGCATCTGTACAGACTGATACCTGATGACAGACAACAGTGAAAGTCATACTCTCCAGCATTCTTGGGACCCAAATAAGGGCGCTTCTTTTTTTGGCTGAGCTTTCTCACACACATGAGATTGCAAGACTTGTGGCTTTCATTCCGGCGCTCTAGTGCCACCCAGCTGACTCGTGCCAGGCTGAGCGTCTTTTGGTCCAGCATTCTGTCTTGAGGACTCATTCCAGAGTGCTGGACCAAAACTCAAGGCATTCCATGATCCAATCAGAAGCCAGGATTGGCTTCTGTGATTCCAAGATTAAAACAGGACAGTTGAGGCGTATGGGTGAAGTCATCACTGCAAAGAAACCATTGGGATCCTCAGTATGCACTCCTGGTTGTTCCCAGGGCCACTGCGAAAAAAGGCCACACTGGAAAAAGATTTTTTGGGTGTCCCCAGTAAGGGCAGACTGGCGAGAAATGGGATGTGTATTTATGTTCAAAAAAATAAAATACCGTATTTTTCGCCCTATAGGGCGCACTTTTTCCCCTCCAAAAATGAAGGGGAAATGTGTGTGTGTCCTATGGGGCGAATGCAGGCTTTCGCTGAAGCCTGGAGAGCAAGAGGGGTCGGTGCACACCGACCCCTCTCGCTCTCCAGGCTTCAGGAGAGCCGCACCGCCAGCCCCACAAGCTCGGGGGACAGCGGGGAGGCGCAGCGCGCCTTTCCCGCTGTCCCCCGACTTGGTTAGAAGGCTGGTGGGGGGAGAAGCCTGCTCCTCCCCGTCGCCAGCCCTGCAAACTCAGGGGACAGCGGGAGGCGCAGCGCACCTTTCCCGCTGTCCCCCGACTTGGTTAGAAGGCTGGCAAAGGGCTTCCCTCTCCTCCAGCCCCGCAAGCTCCCAGAGCAATGCCAAAGCTGCACGCAGCTTCGGCATGGCTCTGGGTCCCGTTCTGGGGGCTGGGGGAGGGGGAAGCTCCGCTTTCCCCGCCCCCAGCCCCACAAGCTCCCAAAGCGATGCCAAAGCTGCACGCAGCTTCGGCATGGCTCTGGGTCCTGTTCTGGGGGCTGGTGTCGGGGGAAGCCCGAGCTTCCCCCGCCTCAGCCCCGCGCCTGGGGGGGGGATAATTTTTTCCCCTTTATTCCCCCCCCCAAATCTAGGTGTGTCCTATGGGCCGGTGCGTCCTATAGGGCGAAAAATACGGTAATATGGCCCTGCCTGGTATACAAGTGAAACATGGACTAGGAAATCCACAAATAATTAACGACACTACTGAGAAAGACAAAAATATGCGTAACATAGTCAGCCCCTGGGCTTCAAAAACCTCACAAATGTCCTGTACTCAACACAAGAAAACTAGCCAGGTGAGCTATTCTGGAACCATCTTGTACTTAAGGAAGGGATGTGGGTGGGAAAAGGAACAGAATACAATGGGTTTATCCACAGCAAAGCACAATCCAACCCCACCTGCTATTATTGGGGTACTGGGAGTTCTCTCAGGCTGTATCTCAAGAGGAGCGGCAGGCA